GGCTCCTAAATGATAAAAGAAAGAAGATTATACTGTTTATTTTCTATGAGTCATAGAGGGATGTAAACAGTTTATGGCTCGTGTGAGATCATAGACACGGGTGTGAAATTTTTTTGGCTTGAGTGTTGTAATAAATATATTCAAGTATTTCTAATCTTGAAACAAAAGAAGAGTCCCATTGTGTGAACTTCAATTAGAACATAGACTAATTCATCAAATTGATCATATTGGTATTTAGGTTGCTTTGTGAGTGTGCAAGTATTTAATGGAAAAAAAAAAAAGGTTTTCTAAAGAGAGAGGAATTTATAATTTCAAGAAATTGTTGAATTTAAACAGAAGGGGTGAAACAAATATGAAAAATAATTTTTTTACTCCATAAGCAGACAATCATGAAAGAATTGACAAGTCTATCAGAAGCACTTTGTAGGTACCTTTTACCAACATTGGATTCCTACACAAACGATGATGCAACCTAGACAAAAGGATTGAACGAAAACGTGTAATGTTACCTATTTTCTATATAATCATTTTCATTTATATATTACGTGGATTCAAAACTTTTATCCATTTTTATCAAACAAACATAAATCTTCAAAAAAATTCATATATTTTTTATTTTCTTAATTATGTCATATCTTAATTTTACGATAGTATAATTTGCTACGTTAATCTCAGCTAATTATAAATATTAAATAGTCAGAATCGACTTAAAATTATTGAAATAATTTCCATTAAAATGAAAAAAAAATCACAAAAAAACATAAAAGTGCAATAGAAACTCTTGTTAAGAAGATATCGCCTTCACAATTCCCGGAATTAAAGAAGTAATGATTTTTACAGCCTAAATATACTTCAATAATTCTACAACTGATTGCATATGCTTATGTGTGTGTTGGTCTATTTCTATTTATTTTAGGGATTTAAAATATTTTATTTTCTATAAATTTGAAATCAGTTACATAAATAATTCTTTTGCCACTCAATCCGTTGATATCAAAATATTACTGATGTCAAATTACTCTGAGATAAGACTTCAACTCCCCCTCTTTACATTCTTTGTTCTCGGAATTAATAATAATGAAAATTAAATTAAAAGAATCGGTCTGAAAAAATTGTTGTCAAAACTTCATTCGGTATTTTAAATTGAAGTTAAGAAATTTAAAAAAAAAAGAAAAAAAGAAAATCGTGAATAAATCAAACGGATAGAATCGAACAAAATGTGTGTTACGTAGGTCTAAATGTGTTTCATATTTCAATTTATGATGTCATGGCATGATTTGACAAAATGATGTTTTGACAACCCCCCATTTGACAACCTCATATTAGCTAATAATAATGAAACAATGGTCGAGCAAATGTGAAAATCAAGCAATTAAATTGTAGCAACGATTAGATGAAATTAATTTAAACATGAAGAAAGATACAAATTTGAAAATGATGCCATTCTCGTTGAGTGGATATGATTTCGTTGTCTTTTTCCAATTCTGTCTGTTCTCTTTTATTTATTTATATTCTTTACACTACTGACACGTTATTCTAATGCAGATTAAAAAAAAAAGAAAATCTTAAAATATTTTTGTTTGTATGTAATTTTTTCTTACTAATGCATAAATTTACTCATAAATGATTTTTATTTACTCATAAGTATGTATTTTAGCATGTGTAAGTTTTATAAGTGGTTGTTTACTTTCAGTGATTTTTTTACCTAATAAGTAAATTTGTTTAGTTATAAGTAACTTTTCATTTAGACGTGGATTTTTAATTATGATTTTTATTTTTATATAAGTTTTTATTCGTAAATTAATTATTACTTGTCAGCGAATTTTAACTTATAAGTAATATTTTTACATATGTTTACGTGAATATATTTTATTGTGCTACTATATGTTAGCATGTGAGTAACGGTAGCAAAAAAGCTCGGAGGCTCAGGCTTGGCTAGGAAAAAGCTCGAGCCGAGCCCGGCTCGGGCTCGATTGCACCGAGCCCCGAGCCAGGATCGGGCTGAGCTCCATTCGGGGGCACCGAGCTGAGCCGGCCCGTGTCCAGCAATTTTTATATTAAAAAAAAATTGAAATTTGAAATTTTATAGTTTCTTTAATTTATAACACGCATAAAATGTACAATTTTTTTTTTTTTAATTATGAGCTTTGAAGTAGTGGCATATCTTTTGAAATAACAAATAACTAAGCATATAACTTTACCTAGTCTTAATGAGAATATAAATATTTATCAACTTCCAACGTGTTCCACTAAAATCTAGTAATTTTTTCATAAAATTACACCCTTA